TATCTTGATAGAGCAGAATTTAGAGGCTATAACTATATAACAAATAGCTTATTACCAATAGATAGAGCTGAATGCAATATATAAACTGGTTTTTCTATAATAAAAATACAATATAAAATAAAAGGGCAAGTTTAGGACCAAAATGATCTTTATCATAAATTTTGTAGAAAAGTTTGAATGGTCAGAAATTTTTGAAGTTTTTTTTTTGAAACTAGGACCCCAGATACTCCATGACACTGGCAGGAAATTTTTTGCCTATGTGACATGGCTTAAACATTTCCGAGCAGTGTGACATGGTCAAAAGATTTTTAAGCAGTGTGACATGGCAAAAAGATTTCTTAGCAGTATGACATGGTTCAAAAATTTCTTAGCAGTGTGACATGACTCAAACATTTTTCAGCAGTGTCACACAGCTAAAAAATTTCCTACCAGTTTGAAACACTTCAAAAATTTCTTACCAGTCTGACACCCTTCAAATATTTCTGACCACTTTCACTTGACTAGGATATTTTTGAACACAATTTATCTACCCAAATATTTCTAGTCACAATATTAGAGGTCAAACATTTTCTATCAAATCCAATAATATATTTTCTTCCAAAGGCCAAAAAAAAACCAGCCAGAGGATCTATTAGCCTGGATAATTTTTCAGGATTTCCTAGCTAATAGCTTGGTCAAGGTGGGTGACTGAAGTGGTTAAAAACTTGTTGAGAACAAATGCATGTACAACGCCTTGCAGAGTCTCCTGCATAAGATATGAGGAATAATAATGACCACCCTGTGCAATCACATCATCTATGCCATATACAGTCTTTTATAGGTCCTCGATACAGAATAGGTCCTTGATACACTTTTGACACTTGTGTAGTTTCTTCAAACCACCTCAAATCCGTGTACTTATATCATCTGCGGGTACATATGGCTTCTATAAAGACTCTCCGATAGTTATAATGACCAGTCAATGTTGAATACAGAGCAATGAGGCTTGTTGTTGTCGGTATCATTTCCTAAAATGGACTTATACCTCCTCAATACACTAGTATTCAACAAGATACACAGCCAGCTTTTCACGTAGCTTCAAATGCTCTGGTACATAGCTTATTTAAGGTAATACAAAGGGTTCTGTCTCTTCAGATTTCGGAAAACCAAAGTCGTTCATGGATGGGAAGAGTTTTTCATTTGGGTGTATCGAGGACCTGTAAAAGACTGTACCCAATGTGCAGAATTGGGCAGCATATGACTGCAATATCATGAGATAATGCCATGATTATCAACACCACACTCACAGTTCATCACCAGGCCGAAGAACAACAGCCTCAAAGTCATACTTGATATCCTTGGGCTTCCCAGAGAGAGAAAAACCATCTTCATCCATGTAGAAGTCAATTGAAGAGAGTTTTTTCGAATCTTGCGGTCTCAAGAAGGCCCACAGTTTTCGTCCAACTTTAGTGCCATATCTTGTGTTAAACCCATCGCAGTCAATGTGGAGAAAAGTGAGAACGTGCTTAAGACCAGCAATACCCCATTCACGGTCCTGGGTTGGGAAGGGTCCATGAAGCGGAATTCTGTGGGTCCCATGGGTAACATTCTGTTTCCAAGACCTTATGGAACTTGTTCATGAAGGGTACATTAACAATCGTCCTCCTCACATTGCAGATCCGCAAAATTCTTGTCTGGCAAAATTGGAACATCAAGACTTTTCGACCATGTCTGCATCAGACATCCAAAACAAGATGCGCCACAAGCAGGTCGTTGTCACTGGGCTCCCCTTTGATGACAAAATGGAGTTCAATGCTAATGGCCTTCGCACCGTCGTTGGTTCCATGACTGCGCAGATCTCCATTACCGGTAGGTTTGAACTTTTTTTTTTTTCAGTCTTATGATCTAAATCGTCATGGCAGACTTCTCAGTCATCAACCCAGGGACCGATTGTGTTCCCTCGGTCGTGAGTGGCAAGGTTAACGACCTTCTTGAGAATGCCTCCAGCACTGGCAAGATTTTGAACGGACTCGACCTCACTTCAGTCACCTACTGACTACTGACTATTAGTCATGTAATTTCAGTATATATTACATGACTAATAGTAGTACTGTATTTATTCTTTGCACTGAATAAATCTACTATATCTATTTTGTATTTCTAATCTGAAGTGTCACACAATTACCTGTCACACAACTGAATCTATTTTTTTGCACTAAATAAATCTTTCAAGTGCCAAGACTCTAAATTAAATATATTCCATGTTTTCACTACTGGATATAATTTTTGAGGCTGAATAAATCTTTTTGGAGCCAAGAGCATAGAGTGTCACAAACTTTTATGTCACACTACTCAATGAATTCTTTTTTGCTTTATAGAGTTTTTGTCTCTGAATAGATTTTATCTGAGAGCTGGCAGGGGTCTTACTCTTCCAAAAAGAAGTTATTAGATGAAAGTAACTTTCTTAGTGTATCTTAGGCAAGCACCTCCACTGTTTCCTGAACAGATTGTATAGGAGCTGCAACAACCACATCAATGCCTCTGATATCTATGCTCATTTGAGATGGTATAATAGCTGCAACAACCAGATCACAAATGCCATTAATGCCATACTCATTTGAAATTGAATGAGAGCTGCAACCACCAGACCCCAGATGCTATTGAAGCCTATGCTCTTTTTGTACTTGTATAAATTGTATAACAGCTACATCAATCAGATCACAGATGCCATTGATCCCATGCTCATTTGAGATTTTATAAGAGCTGCCACAGCCCAGACCACAGATGCCATTGAAGCATATCACTTCAGTCACCCACCTTGAACAAGCTATTAGCCTTGTAAAATGTAAGAATGTATCCAGGCTAATAGGTTGTGTGGCCATTTATTTTTTTGCCTTTGGGAGAAAATATAATATTGGATTGGGTAGAAAATATTTGACCTGTAATATTGTGACCAGAAATGTTTGGGTAAATAAATTGTGTTCAAAAATATCCTAGTCAAGTGAAAGTGGTCAGAAATATTTGAAGGGGTTCAGACTGGTAAGAAATGTTTGAAGTGTGTCAGACTGGTAAGAAATGTTTGAGCCAAGTCTAACTGGCCAGAAATGTTTCAGTGGTGTGACATCAATCAGATATATTCTAAGCATGTCACACTGTTGAAAAATCTTTTAGCCTTGTCACATGGCTCAAACATATCTGACCAGTGTCACGGGGTATCTGGGGTCCCAGTTTCAAGAAAAAAACTTGTTTTTTCTGGTGCAGTTTTCTCATCATTTTGTACATTGCTTTTTTTTCCCCTCAAAACTCATCTAAGTTTGTTCTCACCAATACCCCACTTCTATCTGCCATTTTCACCACTCTAAGTCTGTTTTCACCAACATCCCACTTCTCTCTGTCATGTTCACACCACTCTAAGGTTGTTTTTACCAACACCCCACTTCTCTCTGTTATGTTCACCACTTTAAGTCTGTTTTTACTAACATCCCACTTCTCAACTCAACCAAGTTAGCATCCCTTAGAGCC